CTACTACTACTACTACTACTACTACTACTACTACTACTACTCCTACTCCTACTTCTCCTACTGCTCCTGCTCCTGCTCCTGCTCCTGCTCCTGCTCCTGCTCCTGCTCCTGCTCCTGCTCCTGCTCCTCCTCCTGCTCCTCCTCCTCCTCCTTCTCCTGCTCCTGCTCCTGCTCCTACTCCTACACGTGCCCCTACTCCTACTCCATTCCTACTGCTACTGCCACTGCCGCTGCTGTTGATTGCTACTGCTAACAAGTCGTCACCACCCACCGGGGCACCCACGAGCCTATATTCAACAGCTGATACGAGTTCAAAGGGCTTTTGTGTCAGTGCACCGGATTTTACGAGGACGTAGCAAAGCCGTGCGCTCACAAAAAGCACCAGCACGGCGCCCTCTAGCAACAACCTACAATGTAGGGACTGCAAGTCAAGAGGCCAAACCCGACCAGTTCCCGTGTTCCAATTACACGCCTCAATGCTTGCCTCCGCCAGATTTGGAAACGAAAAGGAGCAGTTTCGCAGCTCCCAAAGCAGAGACGGATAACTTCAGGAGGCTGATCTTTTAATACCTTGAGTTTTGTGGGTCTGGGTTGTGAAGTCTCGGGTTCAAGGGAGTGCTTGGTCGTCGGCCTTCCACAGAAGCTGACACTTAGGGTGCAGGCTGCAGCTCAGCTATGACCTACCCCGAAACCCTACAGTCGGCGCGACACCCTAAACTCCACACCGGAAATGCTGGAACATAAACGATTGAATAAGTTATTGAACAAATACTATTTGTGCTTGTTGAGTTCGTCAATGGTGCTCGAGGATTCTGCTGAGGCAGCAGTCGAACAAAACTACTTGCATGCTTGCCTGCTTACATAGGAAGTCTTGACAGGGATAAGATGACCACCTTTCAGGCTGCACCATAGATTGGAGCGATCTCTTCATCATCCGGTCTGCCGCTGTGCAGACGGGGATTGCTCTAAATTCGGGCCCCCTTTGGGGGCCCGATGCTTTCCTTTCCCCTTCAACCTCCTGATCGCTTCAACACCAGACCCCACCACTGCATAATGCGACGCCCTGCAAAGCAACCCCGTGGTTCCTAGCCATCTCAGATCCTTGACGACGGACTGCGCTCTTCCGTCGTGAGATCCCGCACACTTCGCGCCTGGCGTCAGGTCTGGGGGCAAGTTTCAGCTGCAAACTCGGGTCTTCCCTGAAGCTTCAGATGCCGACCACGAAAATGTCGACATGGGCACATGCTCATAACGATGCACCCAAACTCTGCACGTGTCGGACGCCCAGCCGTGAAACTGAAGCCCCGGAGATGGTGACATGATCGAAGCTGCGAAAGCCACTCGAAACCTCTACATCCTTCCTTGCCGTGGGCCTAGCCTGATCCATGCGTTGCTGCTCCATCCTGCGGGCTTTCAAGATGGTGGCTCCGCTTGAGGATTGAAGGGCTCAGTCAACTGATCCAGCAGATCTTAGAAGCTTGAGCTCGAAACCAGAAAGCATGGTGCACGCTGGTCCTCTGCACAAACTGGTCGCGCTGCGCCCGTAAAGCCGCCTGCTGTCCCGTTGCCGTGGCTTGGGGTGGCACGATCTCCTGCCGGAAACAATAACAATGGGCACACCAGCCCATTGCTCCCGATCAAGAGGGCAGTAGACTGGGTGCCCAACAGGGACCCTCGACAGAGGCCCTGTGGCCACGCAGACATGCAATCCGAAACATCCTGCTCCTCGACGGTGCTGCGTGAGCCGACGAAGTCGAAGCAAGGACAGCCTTTTGATTTCTGTGCTCGAGGTTCAGGATTCAGGGTGCACAGGGCAAGACTGCAATCGTCTGAAGAGACATCATTGCCAGTAACACTAGCATTATCAATTATCCATTATCCGTCACTGTTCTCTCACTGCTGCTGCCCATACTCCACCGCAGAGGTTGCTACTACTGCCCCCCCCACCAACTACGCTTGCCAAATCCGGGCTGAACTGTCACAGCTCATCGCGGCTGAAATTGCACAGGCTCAGGCCCCAAA